GGAGCGAGGTAACATCGTAACAACAAAATTCAAGCTAACGAGTCAAGAAAACTCACCAACAAATCCCTAAAAAGCGGTATATATACTCTACATTTAGCCTCTTTGTTCAGGTATAAAGTGATTTGATTAATTACTATCATATGTCAACCTCGAAGCCTGTGAGTGTGCTTGTCTCTGTATGCGTATGTGCCTGTTTGTGTTCGCTTATGCACGAAACCCGCAGTGATGGCTCAACTCTACTGACATACAAAGTAATTAGGACAGCAAAAGTAACGTCTAATTACTTTGAACAATCACTGCGAGTTTCGGGATTTGCCGGTGACTTTTCCTGACTCGTTAGCTTGAGTTTGGTTGTGACGATGATTCCTTGCTCTGATAATGTTCGTTATACGACGGACGAAAGCTTAGCACCTTTTCCGCGGAATGGAAGGAGATTACTTCGGAAGCAGCGTCACCATGAATGTGCCCGTAAAGCCAATCGACAGATGGTCAAGAGAAATCGACCTTCAAATCTCTTCACCAAACACTTTCACTCGAGATGCTATAGCTTAATTTGCTCATGTAGTTGGAGAGTTCTGTCGCCCCATTCAGCAAGAGGTGGCTACACACAAAGTGCCCATAGAGGCCGTTGAGTCGAAAAATCTTAGGTCGCATTACACTTTGCTTAAACTTGTTTCTTACATAAGTATATTATCTGCAATTAAGTGTGAAATTAGAAAAGTCTTCAAACTCAACCAATCAGGCAATACCGAGCCTCGCTAGACAATATCCCACGAGACCAATTTCTCTTGTTTCTGCGAGCAATCTGTGGGTCATATTTGGCCCAATTTTTTCACTTGGAAGTAAACATGTAAATATTGAACTCACTTTCAGTTAGAGTGTAAGTTGGAGATCAAAAAACTCGAAAGTAGATCATAACAGATCGATCATATGTCAGGGACACGGGCAAAAAATAAGATCTACTTATGCTTAAATGATAGACTCAAGGATAGAGAGGATCTTGGGAAACCCAAAAGATAGAGGAGACTTAACTAGTCTTTTATTTAAAATTGTTCTAATTACGATCACAATATCTATATGTCTTGATTCTAACTTATACTCTCACGACAGACTAAAATCCCATCGACTTTACAGGACATTATACAATCGATGTAACGGTTAAAAGAAAAAATGTGTGGATTTGAGTCATTGAACTTTAATGAACGAGGACAGACATTAAGTTCTGTTCTAATTACTTTGGGTTATCACTGCTGGTCTTATACAAATGCCAACATATATCGGTACACAAGCGCACAAAAGCATACACTTGCACGTGAAATATGACATGAACTAGCCAAAGCACTTTGTATCTCCCCAAAATGCCTCAATTAGGGGTATAAACAAGACAGTTAAAGCTGAGCTGCTGAGTTTTACTGACTTGTTAGCTTGAATATAATTGACCGAATTTTACTAAGAATTTCAACAAGAATCTCCTTTGCTTTCTAGTGGGAGCAACCTTATTATCACATCATTTAGCGTTTTCACTAGTGAGGGAAGCGACAATCCTCGACGCCTATGAAGCTGCAAAGGCGAGGGTATGTTGAGGCAAACTTGGAAGGGAAGGTTGCACTGGGACTTGTTTTGTTGCATTAAGGGAAACATGGCGTTGCGGATGCTCTTGTAATCATATAGTCTTGGAATGTAGAAATAGCCAAATGAAGAGGATGCCAGACTTGGTCTTACGGGTAGTCTAGAAAACTTACCCGAAACGAAAAATATGTAATGTCGTTGATTGCTACAGCAATTTATTCGAGTCCCGCTGGGGGTGTTGATAAGACCTGTGGCGAGGTCGGAACTGCAGTCCGCCCTGGATGACAACATCTTTTGGTAAAACAAAGCAATGTGAAATTCAATGGAAATGTCAGCTCTGGTCATATTATCAGCTTAAACGAAATTGGGTGATTTACTGGTAGTCTCGGAGATCTGCTCACGAAAAAAAATTACTGTCTTCTCTTAAATCACTTCAGGCGATATAGACTGACTAAGTTGATGCGGCAGAGAGCTCAGTCTTATATTCTACAATTCGGTTTTCCCGTTGGCTCGAGGGCAATCGCCTTGACCACTTTGCCACCCTCTGCCGGATTATGCAACGGCTCTTGCCAAGTGGCGATACAACACCGCCGGATCGACAGGCCCACATTGCAACTACGTGAGGTGGCCCCACCTCCGAGGTTTCATTGTCGGGGGGACTTGGCGCTTTCGGGAGACAGACAACATTTTTAGATTTATGCTGTCACCTCCTCCCCTACTTTGGGCACAGGCAGGTGG